CAAAAAAAAAAAAAAAAAAAAAAAAAAAAAAAAAAAAAAAAACCTAAATTTATCGACTCTCTACCATCTTGCAAACCTCAAATTTAGTAGAAAAGAAAAAATACTCACCTCGGCTATAGAGGGGGCTGCTGCTCAGTGGGGGTGGGACAACAGGGTTGGGTTTCTGTGCCTTGGGCTGCACTATGATTTGGTATCCTTGCATGAGACGCTGGCATATGAACTCTTCAAACACCTGCTGGGCCGTCATCTGGACACCTTCCTCATCCCTCCTGAAGAGTAAATGATTGTTCGCATGAATACGTTTAACCCAGGGCACTGACACTTCAGATCCCATGAGGTCAAGTTCTCCTCTGCTTCATTCTGGATAACCATTCTATGGCAGCTGATAAAATTAACAATTTGTAAACCAACTTCTGAAGAAATTAGTAGTTTTAAAGAGGTGGAAGAAGAAGATAGGTAATAACCAATGCTCAAATGAGTGATCTTTCGGGCCGCCGGGCACGCAGCTTTGCAGCTTTGGCTTTGCAGCCACAGTCCCAGAGGCCCAGCGGTCCCACATTGTGCCTGGCACAGGTGCAGGGATCTGGGGCAGGTGTCACAGGTCTATGTGGCTCAGACTGGCTTCAAAACTCATAATGTAGACCTGGCTGGCCTGGAACTCAAGATCCTCCTGCCTCAGCCTCCCAAGAGCTAGGATGACAGTGCAATCCTATAGCTCGGAGTACTCTGTCAAAGGTGATTTATTTAAGTAAGACCATTAAGAGTGGAAGCAATTTCCTGGCAAAAGACTTTACATATGTTTTGTGTGTGTGTGTGTGTGTGTGTGTGTGTGTGTTTGTGTGTGTGTGTGTGTGTGTGTGTGTGTGTGTGCGCGCGCGTACATGCACAGGTGGGCAAATGGATGTTTAAGTGCGTGCGGGGCAAAGAGTGACAGATGCCGGAAGTCTGGGGACCACTCGGGGTAGCAACCTGCACTCCCAGCCAGCTGTTGGCTCTCCATGCACCCCATGCACTACCCCAGCACCTGTTTAAATCTGCCGCTTCCCTCCCGGGAGGCACAAATGATAAGTGCTCCAAGACAGGCTGCCCCTCCTCTTGCCACTGCTGGTGGAAAATCCATTTTCGCCCTTTTGTGTCAGTGAGAAACACAGAAAAGTTTTCAGGGACCCTTTTCTGTTTGTTGACAGCTAAAATTTTAGCCTCTGACGATGGGACCAAATCTCTTGTGAAATCAAGATGGTACTCATGAAAGCATCGTCATATCCACACTACTTTTGGAGGAAAAAAAAAAAAGACTGAGATCATGTCAAGTGGACTTTGTACCATGAGACTGCACAACATTACAACTGTCCGGTGCCAGCACGCTGTGCCACCACCCTTGGAATGACCAACAACTCCAGTAAGTCGCTTTCCTGTGGAAAGGGAATAGTATCGTCATCGTACAGAAGCTAGTTCACTTTAAAAAATGATATTAAATATAACATGAACACAGAAAATGATCCATTATTGTAAGTATACAGCTTGAAATTTTTTTGTTTTGTTTTGTTTTGTTTTTGGTGTTGTATAAGGTAAATGAACCCAGGGCCTTTGCACTGAGCTAAATCCCCAACACTTTTTTGTCCTTTTTTAAATTCAGGGACTCGCTACATAGGTTAGGGTGGCCTCGAACTCAAACCGATCCTCCTGCCTCAGCCTCCTGAGAGCTGGGATCACAGGCGTGTGCCACCACAGCCACCATCATCAGAGATTTTGTCATTATATAAACATCATAAACCAGTGCTGGTGAACCTATGGCACACGTGTTATTTGTTTTTCTCTTAAGACAAAAGCTGTTAATGTATGAGGTGGTTTTTTTAAACCAGAACCTCAGTATTCAGGTTTAGTTGCAGTGTTGGGACTTTGCCATAAATAGGTAGGCTTTGGGTTGCAGTTTAGGCACAAGTCTGTAAAAGGTTTGCTGTCACAGGCACTGTACTTATACACCCTGAATGACTGTGATTTTGCTACGCCATAGGCTCTTTTTGATGATTTCTTTTGTGGGGGGTGCTAGGGATCGAACTCAGTTTCTTGCACTTGCGAGGCAGGCAGCTGAACCACCCAGCTAAATCCCTAGCCCGTGGTGATCTTTCTGTCTGTCAGGTTATTATGTAGCACATGCCTGTACTTGTTTGCATTTTTCCCCCTTTAATATACTTTTGATATTCATCACCTTGTAGTTTTTACCTCCAACACATTGCCTTTTAATTTTCCTTAATTTGTTTGGCTAAATAACGCCTTTTCATGATTTCAAGATCTCTTTTTGAGAGAGCCCAGGCTGGCCTTAAACTCATGCTGATCCTCCTCGCTCAGCCTCCTGAGTACTGGCATTACAGGCGTGTAAATGCATCAGTAAAGTACATGAAAAAAACAAAACAAATGAGTGATCTTTAACAAGATCAGCTTTAGTGTGTTCAAAGTAATTACAATAGAAAATATGAGAACAAGCAAAGGGGAGAAGTTGTTTGTGTCAGCACAAATCAGAAAAAAGAACAGTTCTTGCATCATAAAATTTCTCCAAAAATGAGGCAGGAAGATTGTGAATTTGAGCCCAGCCTGGGCAACTTAAAGATGTAGCAAGATTGTCTCAAAATAAAAAATATATCACTTTCCAATCCCCCTTCTGTCTCTCTTGGACAGAGGGTATCTTTCTTTCAATAAATTTTTTGTATTCTTAAAAATAACAATAAAAATAAATTTTTAAAAATATAAAAAGGCCTGGGGATGTAGCTCAGTGTGCAGGTCCTTGGTTCAATCTCCAATATGGCAACAACAAAAAAAGACACAGGTTTGAAAGTTCAGTGTTCTAATATATGTGTTTGAACCACCCTGAACTTTGACAACAAGGCTGGAATGCCTTTCGTCTGACACCAACCTGTCCATGTCTGCTTCTGGGAGGAGATCGTAGCAGCCCTCCGTGTAGTCATTCTGCAGGCCCTGACGATCAGGGAAGTAGTCGGTGGTGAGGGGGAGACACGCCGGAGTAGTGAGAGACTTCCAGTCCACTCCAACTGTGCAACAGAAGCCTGGCACTACAGGGGGAGCAGACAGTGTCAGAACTGCCTCGCATAACAGGGAAAAGGTATGTGTAGTCGCCATGGCAGGTTTAGGATATGGTGGTGGTGGACGGGAAAGGTAAAGGGGTGGGGAGTTTAAGGTAAAAGGTGACAAAATTGCCAGGATAGGGAGGGAAAACAGGACAGGGAGTAGGGAAGGGAGAAAGAGAGAAACAGAGTTTGTTAGACAATGCAGTGCACATGCTTATTCAATCCCATCATGCAAACGGAATTCACAGCTGGTACTTTTCATGTTCTGCTGATTATGAGCTACAGCTGAAATGCCAGTGAGGTTACTGCAGGGCAGGCAAGGTTACATATCAAAGCAAATCAACATTCCAAGAGCAGGCCGGGGGCTCAGGCTGGAGCCTCTGATGAGGACTGCAGAGTGGCTGGGTGGGGAAAGGGAAGCTTAGCCTGATTCGGGAGCAAAACAGCACATAGCATCAGAAATAAAGAATACTTTCAGAATCACAAAAATAAGTAATAGAACCTAAAGGATAGGAGGAAAAATCAAGGTAGGATGACTAAGAAAGTTATAAGGCTGTCTTTAAAGAGACAGAGATTGACAATACAAGACTGAAAGCTGCAATCAGAAGAGCAGGCTTCTAACCACTTGTGTCTGGAATTATCTGCTCTTCAGTTAAAGTAGGGTTCTCAACCTTAGCACTTCCTAACCAGATAATTCTTTGTTGTGGAAGGTACTCTAAGCATTATTTAACAGTGAATGGCATCAATGGATTCTACTCTACCACTTGATGTCAGTGGCACCCTCTATTGAAAACCAGAAATGTTTGCAGATATGGTCACAAAGTTCCCTGGAGAGCAAAATCCTACCCAGCTGAGTTACAAAGCAGTAAGACAGTTCTATGGTTTGAATGTGCTTTCTTCTCAAAGTTCATGTATTGAAGGGTTGGTGCTCAGTGGAGGAATATGAGAAGTGTGGATTAAGAGGTGGAGCCTAGAGAGGGCTTATTGTGGAGAGTGTCCTCAATAAGCAATTAGGGCCAGGGATGTAGCTCAGGGGTGCCATGCCTGCCTGGCAAGCACAAGGTCCTGCGTTCGATCTCTCGTACCAAAAAAATAAAGAAACAATTAGGGTACTTCTTGTGAGATCCTGAAGTAGTTCTTGTGGGATGACTGAGGTAGTTCCTGAGTAGTTTTTGGCAGTCAGGCCCCTATGATCTCACTGTTTCTGTGATCTCTCCCTCCCACATGCTGTACATCATACTGCTATCTACTACCGTGTGACACAGCTAGGGAGTTCTTGCCAAACAAGATATTACGTTACTTGTGAACTAAATAACATTCTATAAAATTGCCCCATTCCTAGGGAATGAAAAAAAAGAATAAAGATATGTTATGCACATGTACCAACTCCTCTGGATGAATGTAATCATTATGTACTGCAAACACGGACTAATAAAAAAAAAGTTACTCCATTTCAGGCATTATAAGTATACTATATTAATAAAAACAGACTAGCGCAGGCATCTACCTCTTTAAGTAAAAACTATTTTAATCTTTAAGTAAAGATCTTTTTAAGTGGAGAATATTTTTAAACCTCTACGAGAGGGAACTAAACTTGCCCTGAATCCTGAGTGAAATATTCACTCATCTTATAACTGCACAGTGATATTCAGCATACAATATGATGTAGATCCTACTGCCTCCTTAGCCCTCGGCACTGCCCTCAAATTACTTTCATGTGGATAAAGACTCATGTGCTAAGAGGTAAGAAGATGCCCCATGCAGCACTACTGACATAGGTAAGATGATATATATAAATCTTATAAACTAATTTATATGTCAGATATTAAAAATGCATCCCAGAATAGTATAAACAATTGTTCCCATTTCTCAATATGGTAGATGAGGTGCTGAGCTGGTTCCTACTACCTGGTTAGAAGTAAAAGAAGAAAGACTTGATCAAAGGCATAGTGGAGAAGCTAAGAATAGAAGTAGGCTATATCTTTATGTACATTTTTTGGGGGGTACCGGTGATGGAACTTGGGAACTTATACATGCAAGGCAGGTGACGGCACCACTGAGCTAAATCCCCAGCCCTATCTTTATGTACTTTTAAATCATGGTGGTTCTCATCAGTTTCCTAACCTTCAGGATTACAAAAACCTTGTAGAAATGTTTTCTGCTGAGAACACACCCAAAATACAGAGTAATAAAATGCCTGATCCAAAATCCCATGATGAGGTCTGGCATGGTGGTTCACATCTATAATCCCAGCACTCAGGAGTCTAAGGCAGAAAGATTGCCATGAGTTTGAGGCAAGCCTGAGCTAGGTAGTGAGTCAGGCCAGCCTGAACAACTTTGCAAGATACCCATGAACTACACAGCAAGACAGCCTGTAACAAAAAAAATAAGTTCAGTAGTGCAGTGCCTGCCTCGCAAGCACAATGTCCTGAGTTTGATGTCCTGGTATCCTCAACACCAGTGCAAAAAATCCATGATGCCATGATGAGAAAGGCTCTGGATTCTTAGTTTAATGATAAAGTGGTGGTGGTGGGGGGTGACTGTCACCTCTGATATAACTCCTGATCCTGAAAAGAAGGCCTCTGAAGAAACCTTACCTCAAAACTACTATGTAGATAGCAAAACCCAGTGCTGGGATTATACATAAATATGATCATCTATCTACTACTGGCAGTTTGGTGGGAAATAATCAATCTAACAATCATCCTTTGGGGAATATAATCCAAAGATGTGAACTGTTACAGGCTTATATCTAGAGGCCTTCCCCAAGCCTCATGCGCCCACAGTTGGGGTATCTGGAAGGTGACTGGGTCATGGGTGTGTGACAGTGGATTAGTTCACTGACAGGATTATAGCTGGGTATGATACTGGGAGATGAAAAGAGGTGGGTCATTGTGGGCATGCCTGGGAGGGTAAACATATATATCCCTCCTGCCCTAACAGCACACTGCATCCTCTTCCTGCCTGCTAAGCCACGAATTCTTTCTCCTCTGCCATGCCCTTCTGCCATGGTGCTCTGCCTTGAGGCCAGCTGATTGTGGCCTGAAACCTCTACAAATTCCAAACTAAAATAAACCATTCTTTCTTTAACTATGGATGCCAAGTATTTTGTCCCAGTAATGAAAAAGTAACTAGACATTCACTACATCTGCATTATATGATATGACTAAAAAAACTGGAAACCATCCAAGTGGTCACCAATAAGAAATTTTTTTTTTTTTGGTACCAGGGATTGAACTCAGGACCTTTCTCTTGCGAGGCAGGCAGTGACACCATTGAGCTAAATCCCCAGCCCAGAAATATGTATGTATGTATGTATGTATTTTCCAGAAATAATTATTTAAAACAAGATATAGTAATGTGTTTGATAGCAACATCAAAAATGACTCATAGGAACCTAAAGAAATAGTGGAAGGATTAACCTGCCCACAAGTGGGGACAAAAAGACTCAGTGATATATATATCTATTGTCACAACCGAGTAAAATAATTATCAGGTGGTAGTTCTTTCTTTTTTGTTATGACCAATATTTATGTGTGTGTGTGTGTGTGTGTGTGTGTGTGTGTGTGTGTGTGTGTGTGAGTGTGCATTTTTTTTTTTTTTTTTTTGGTACCGGGATTGAACTCGGGTCCTTGCGCTTGCAAGGCAGGACACCGAACCGCTGAGCTAAATTCCCGGCCCTGTTATTACCAATATTTAGATATTCTCTTACTGCACAGCTTTCTGAATAGAAAAGGAGGATCAAAGTGAATGCAAACTAGCTAAATATTTTCAAATACAGGTACATAAAAGGTTGCAAGAACAGCCTGTTATCTTTCTGACTTTTCTCCAAAGCCCCCAATAGCATTTAATGGCTAAGACCAGATCTAAACTGGCATGATAGTCTTTGAGAAATCTATTTCCCTTCCCACGTGCCCCTGAGATAAATTCTGGAACAGGTCATTGGGCAATATCCCTCTCAGTTTGCATCAGAGACCACAGTCATCCCTCACCACTTTGCCTTCCTGTACCCCAGAGGTTGGTGGACTTCTAGACCACTCTTTCCATATGGCTTCCTCTTGCTTCCTCATGCTCTGACCACCCCACACTCCTGGGCATCCCCTCCTGCTACACACGTGCCCCTCTTACTTGGGTCTGGAGAGGTAGAAATACTGTCCTCTGGAGAATCCTTATTCTGGGTCCTAGGATTCATACCTATAGAAAGACAAAAATAGCTTATCTGAATGAAGCTCATTCTGCAAAAGAATTTTGACACTTATGGTTGGAAAAAGCAAAAAGTCAAAGCTGAAAGTAAAAATGTGAACCAACTGCCAATTCTAGGCTAAGTATTTCAAACAGCACTAAGAATTAATCAAAGGAAAAACAAGCAATCTAAAATTTGAGAATGAGCCAGAATTTCACACTGCAGTTTATCAATACCATTCTTTGCCTAATGAAACCTTTAGCAAAGCAATCGTTACTTATTTTTAAGAAAATGGACACATTTCAAAAGTCAGTTCACTCAGGGCAATCTTTAGCAAATATAAAATGACCTATTTAAATTTAGCCCACTCATTATTCATCTTTATCTTCTAGAATTCTTCATCTCCAAATCATGACTTTCTACAAAATGACAAACTCCATCAAAACTCAGTACTTTCACAGACTAACAGTGATTCTATCTATATAGCTAGGTTGAAAAGAAAGCAGACATCCTCAGAAATTCAATTTATTGACTATAAAATCGAACTAATTTTAAAATATGTACAACAGTACCTTAAATGTCACTTAAAAACATATTTACCAGAAAATTATACCATAAAAAAAGAATTGGAAAGAGCCTCAGCAAATGCCCAGCCCAACAGTGGCTACATCTAAGAAGAAAAGGGGGTAGGAGAGAAAAGAAAACTTCTTTTTACTTCTGCTTTTTCTGTGTCATTAGAATGTTTTCTAATAAAAACAAATATTTATAAGTTCCTTGTGAAATCTATGAAAAACAAGTTTTGACCTTGGAGAAAGTATTTGTAAATTACATCTGGCAAAGGATTTGTAATCAGAATATACAGAGAACTCTCAAAAGTCAAAGGCAGGAAAATAGCCTAATGAGTACAGTGGTAAAAGATCTGAACAGATAGATAACTCATCAAACAACACATACAGAAGGTGAATGAGCACATAATGTTCCATATCATTAGTCATTAGGGAAACAGCAAATTAAAAACACAATGAGATACCTCTGTATACCTACTGGAATGATTAAAACAGCTCATCATATCGCGTGCTGACAAGGATGTGAGACATCTAAAATCTTTGAACATTGCTGGTAATGAAGTTAAATGGTATACCACTTTGGAACACAGTTTCAACATAAATTTACCATTTGACCTAGCAATCTCACTCCTAAAGTTTTACACAGAGAAATAAAAACGTGTTTTACAATGAGTATGTTTACGTAAAACTCTGTCAATGATTACAGCAGCTTTACTCAGAGTTGTCAAAACTTAGGAACAATTCAAATGTTTCTCACTTAGTGAAGAGATAAACAAACTTCAATACATCCCATACAGTGGAATACACCTCAGGAATAAAAAAGTAATGAACTACTGATGGTGCATGCAACAACCTGAATGAGTCTCAAATACATTATGCTCAGTGAAAGAAGCCAGACACAAAAGGCCACACAATAGACCAGTGATGGCAAACCTTTTAGAGATGAGTCCAAACTGTAGCCCAAAACCTACTTATTTATTATAAAGTGCCAACCTGCAATTAAACATAAATACTGATGTTCTGGTTTAGAAAAAACAACTCATACACGAACATCTTTTGTCTTAGAAGAAAAACAAGTAATACGTGTGCCATAGCTTTGCGACAATAGCAAGAGACAATTCTGCGTAGGTGACATGCTGGGTAAGGTGAAACTAGAGGGACAGGGAACAGATCAGTGGTTGCTGGGAGACGGGGGAAGAGCTGGATACAAAGAGAAAGCAGGTCACATCATGGGGTGTGATAGAAACGTTCTGTATTTCAGTGTATGTGTTAGTAGGTAAATGATTATGAGTTTGTCAAACTCATAGAACTGTACACTAAAGAGTGAACTTTACTGTAAGTAAATTTAAACATAATTTTTAAATGTATTTTTATTTATCCATTTGGCAGTACGAGGGATTAAATCCAAGAAGTGCTAAACTATATCCCCACCTTTTTTGAAACAGGGATTCACTAAGTTGTCCAGGTTGCAAGCCTCCTGCCTCAGCCTCCCAAGTCACTAGGATTATAGGCAGGTATCACCAAGCCTGGGAAAATGAATTTCTTTTTTAATCTTTTTTTGGGGGGCGGGGTAGCGGAGATGGAACTCGGGTCCTTGCACCTGCAAGGCAGGAGGCGGAACCACTGAGCTAAATCCCTGGCCCTTAAATTTCTTCATTTGAAAAGATGGTATCACTTGTCCAAAATAATTTTACAATTTGTTAGAACTGTTTTTTTGGAACTACCTGCAGCGGACTTTTATAAAATAACTACATCTCTAAAATCTAAAACTTTCTGAACTTTAACATGACACTCAAAAATGTTTAGATTCTGGATTTCAGATTTTCAGATTAGGGATGCTCAACTAGTAAAATTTATCAAATATTCCAAAAATCTAAACAACTTTGAAATTTGAAATATTTCTGGTTCCAATCATTTCAGATAAGCAATACTCAACCAATACCATACTAGAAGATACAACTTATTGTGACAAACAACCGTATTTCATTTTACATAAACCCATGCCATGAGGTCAATATATAATAGATATTAATCTTTTTTTTTTTTTTTTGGTATCAGAGCTCGAACTCAGGACCTTGTGCTTGCAAGGCAAGTGGCAGAACCACAGAGCTAAACCCCTGACCCCGTATTAATCTTTTTCTACAAATAAAGAAAATGAGGCTCAGTGAAATTAAACAACTTACAGAAGACCACAGAGTTAGTAGGTAGAGCCTGCATTACAGTCTCTGTACTCAACTTTACAGATATTATAGTTCTTCATTATTCATCTGGGGCAGCAGTTTTTAGGTGCAAAATGTTATCTGTATTTTGACAACAGCCAGAAGCCATTTGAAGCTAAATTTTCTGAAAAAACTATCTTGGCTGACATTCCTTTTCTTTCTCTTTGTCTGGTACCGGAAATCAAACTCACGGTCTCTCACTTGCCAGGTGCTGCATCACTGAGCTACATCCCTGGCCCAACATTCCTTCTCATGCAAACATAAAAGAGGCAATGACAACAGTTAGGGTGGCACATGCCTGTTATCCCAGCACTCAGGAGGCTGAAGCAGGAGGATCACCACAAGTCTGAGGCCAGCCTAGACTATATAGTGAGTTCAAGGCCAAACTGAACTACATAGTGAGACACTGTCTCAACAACAAAAAAAAAAGCAATAAGGTTGGGTTTTTTGTTTGACCTGAGAACTGCTATGTAGGCAATTATAAAATTGGCAACCCAAAATATACTCAGTAATAGGAGAATTATTACATACATCACCTCCTGGGTTTAGATGGTGGGTTTCACCACAAGATCACTTAGAGAAAAGAAAAACCTAATCAGACTTGCTTTATAAGGCAAGTGAAATCCTTATACTAATAAATGATTCATCTAGGGCTGGGTGTAGTTCAATGGTAGGCACTTGCCTGGCATGCATGAAACCCTGCATTCCAACCCCAGTATTACAAATAAATAAAAAACTGTTCAGTTTATCTGACAACTTGGGCTTAGGTCAAAAGTTGACCTATACTGTTTCCAATGGACACACCTAAGCACATTTTATAGAAAAAGCAATTTAATGGAATTAATATGAAAAAATGGAAATAAAGTCTTTGTAGATAGGGAGGAGGGAGGGGTTGAAGGGAGGGCAGGGGAATGGGGAAAAAAAAAGAATCAAGATGGATTATGTAAAGGTGCAAGTTTCCAACAATGAATGTCATTATATTATATACCTTAAATATACCAATAAAATTAATTTTTGTGTGTTGTTTTTTGAGACAGGATCTCACTACATAGTTGAGACTGACCTAGAACTCACTATGTAGCCCAGGCTGGTCTCGAACTCACAGCGATCCTCCTGCCTCAGCCTCCCAGGTGATGGGATTACAGGCATGTGCCACCACGACCAGCTCCAATAAAATTAATTCTAAAAAAAAAAAAGAAAAAAAAATTTAAAGAAATAACTACTTTAAGGGCCTTGAGGAAGCTACTCAAGACTGTTTCCTTACAGTCTGAGCCTAATATGCAGCTTTTCAAACTGACCTTTAAGTCTTTATTTACCTGGTATACAAAGAACCCAACAAACTAAAATGTTGATGTAAGACATGGTCAGATGCCTCTGCACAACTGAACATTAAAAGCCTCACTGTCAAAGTTCAACATCAAACACAACTGGGAAACCAGTGCTGAAAAGCCACTGTGGTTCTCTTTTGACATCTGCGCAGTCGAGAGGTGTGAATGTGTTCTCCAATTCTAAGGCCATAAAGGGCACTTGCTGTGGAGTCTCAGAAGCTGGTTCCAGGCCCACATCTAGAAGTCAGTGCTTGCAGCAGGCCATTTCTCCTTTTTGAATACAGAGATAGACCTTACAAAAAAACCTGACCTGGCCTGGAGGAATGACTCAGAGGCCCCTTCTTCCAGCCTCAGCATGTTATGACCTACTTTTTACTTTAGCTCGCAGGCCAAACTTGCCGCATGCACAAAACACCAAGACTGTGAGTCCCAATACAAGTGGGAAGAAAACATGACATCCATTTACTTCCTTTCTCAAAAGTATATACTTCTGATGAATGGGATGATACTGACCGACAAGAGTCCTAAACTAATCTAGTTAAAGAAACAGAAAGATAAAAAGCTAGGTGTGTATCGCGGTGACAGAAATATGCATGGCACTGTGTGAGGCCCTGGCTTCAATCCTCAGCATCAAAAAATAAAAAGAGATGGATAATAAATCTGCTCAATCCCACTAATTACCTGGTTCCTGATGGGTAGTACAGTATAAAATAAGGGAAGGATAGAGCTGTAGGACCACCCTCCACCTCAAACAATGCTCGAAATGAAATTCTTAAGAGCCAGGAGAGAAAACCAGAGATACAACTCCTGTGAACCATGACTCACATATTATATGACTCATGCCTAAACACAAGAGAAATTCTGAGTCATGCCTGAGTACCTGCAAATGGTACAAACT